AATTATATGTGCCAATAATGTGTGTCACGACATTTCCAACGTTCTATGCAATTCTATCTAAAAGACATTTGATACAGTTGTAATAAGAGCAATAAAAATGCTACAAAGTTAATTGGCTCGTGAAATAGGCCCATTGTATGTTGTACAGGACCGAATTAGCTGTATGGCTTAGCAATATTTCCGATAAGTTACTTTTTAGCTTTATCAGCTTATTTGGTTCTTTACATCCCTTATTTAAGATTGAATCTCGGTTGGAGGTAAGTTCGGAATGAAAGTTGACGCTCGTGTATAATATACATATATGTAAAAAGTAGAACAGGGCCACCCACGATCACTGAACGAATGTACAAACACAGAACATTATGTTGCACGTGCAGGTTACTTCGACTAGCTTCGCATTTTCTTAACACAATGTGACTTGTGCATGGCGTCTTGTATTAAGTAAGTAGGTATTTTATTTTTAAAACAATAGGTATAAATAATGCTTACATGAATTACTTAAGCTTAGAACCATGTCTCTCAAATATCACGAGCTTCTGATAATAAAACCCACCATGAAATGATCGAAACAAATACTGCAAGTTTGTACTTCGTTTTTAAGAAACTATCAATATTTGTAAACGTCTTTTAAAAGTACGTAGAAAGAGTTAAGAAATAACGACCCTGCGTTATTTCTGAAAATTTTTACCGCATTTAGGCGCAATTGTGTATCACCCTGGTCCAAGGCAGGAAAAGGTACCATGGCTTCAGCCTGGAGCTGGAGAAATACCTAAATGGTTTTGAGTTACTCAATAAGACGCTGACTCTTCGGATTGCCCCATCCAGGGAAAGAAAAGTCATTAGATGATTTTCCCGCTCAAAAAAGCAGGTACTATGAATACGTAGGGACTTTCCATTTCTTTTCACATGATTCTAAGTGATAAATATAGAGTCTACCACTAAAAGGTAAGCTCAATAAATTCTAGACTTAACTATGACATTGATAAAGTTTACTATTTTTTAATTTGTGCCTTGCTTTCGGTTAAGTTTTAAGTTAAAAATATGATATTGACCAAACCAGAACTTAGGAGCCCCACCAGTGGTTGGTCTTTTAGCGGGTTTAACTAATATCTAGAATAATAATAAAAATAATGAAACGCTTGTTATATTGACGTTTATACGGAAAAAATAAATAAGAAAATCCCTTGACAACAAAGATTTACAAAAAGTGCACTGTGAAGATAAGTATCATTTTTCATTAACTTAACACCAACAGACTGTTGTGTTTGCATATTGACGTGATAAACTTAAATAAACAATATTATTTATTGCACCATGATACCATAACCTTGCACAATATAGTTAGGTAAGTGGCGACACACAGAGCTAAAATCAACTTCGTGTTCATTTCAGCTCTGTCATTTTTTGAAGTTCGTTTTTTTAAAAATAACGAAAATATTATAGATAAAATTTTATTCTAAGAGAACATTTAGATCATTTATATCACCTACATTTCATCAAACATTGTTTAAAGATATTAAACACGTTCACAAGGAACAGTTTCCATCGCATCAGCACAATAATCACAAAATGCATACCAAGCAGTGGACGGTCGATCTTCAATTTCGTCATTGTTATAACATTGGCATCATTTATTTACTATTACGCTTTATTTATTAAGGTCAGTTGCAACATTATAAATTGTATCTAGGTACTCTCTATAAGATAGGTCATAAGTAATTTACTTTTTAAATTTTAACGTACAAACTTCTGTAGCTGCCATATTCATTTTCAGGCTCATGTGTTTTAGTGGTCAGCACGTCTCAGTACAGAACTGATAAGTAGGTCATTATTTTTGATGTTAATTTGAAATGCAGCAAAGTTAAACGAAAACATGTAAAAATGAAGTGTGAAATAAAAATATTGGTGCGTGCAACGATCGGGTCGTATCGAGAGAACTTTAGACGGTAGCAAGAGCACACGGGCGCACTTTAAAAACGTAATACTTTTCACATTTGTCACAGGGTCCGGTCGAATTACAACGGAGTTATTCGAGTCGCCGCGTGCCGAAGCAGCTGAATCGACGTCATCGCTCGCCCGTCGCGCTAGTGCAGCATTTATGTTCACTTCACAGCTCATGAAATTATATTACAAACATGCTTAAACCTAACTGCGTTCGAAAGCCAGTCTTAAAGTTGTTTAAATTAAATTTATACATAACAACCAAAAAAACATCTTAGTATGCAAATAATTCAATTATATAGATATGATTATCGCTTAAACAGATAAATAAACCTTCATCGCCTTAATAATTTTGAAATTCTGGTATTCCAATTCCACCAAAAATAGGCTGATTTTGTTTTATTTTTTGTATATCAGGTTTAAATCTTGTCTCTCGTTCAAAAGTTATCCACTGATAATTAGGTTCACTAATTGTCTATACCATCTCTCTACCTGCCAACGTGGAAGCTGTGATGGCCTTAATTATTACCAATATGATAATTGCAAACTTTTTTAAGAATCGACAGATGTTTTTTTTTAATCTTTATTTCGACAGATGATTGTTTATAAATCTTTCACATGAAAATTACTGGATGTGTTTTGATGAAAATTGGCAAAGAGATGGTCAGGAATCGCACTAAGTTAGGCTACTTTTTATCAAAATTAACTCAGGCGAATTCGTTAACGAAAGGTTATAGGAATAAATAATAAGGTATAGAGTGCACACAAAACAGGAAGTAAAGATTTAAAGTAAAAATTATGATCACATAGCTCCATTTACAATATGTAAACATTTTTGGAAGATAGAGGCATAGTTTTCCTGAAAACGACATCGGGCGGCAGGTTAGACGACCATGTCTTACAGAAAACCGCCGTAAACAGGCACATAAGTTGTTTTCTACTTATACTTAGTTAAGTAATTCAAATTCAATAAATACATTTATTAATGTATTTGTATATATATTCGTATAAGTTATAAATGCTGAGAATGCGAATAGCTTATAACGAAACAAAGAGAGCGAAAGAGAGAGACAGCTTTTGAAAAAATGATTTCAGCTTTAATAATCACTTCGTAGCTCACGTAAGATGGTAAAAAGACTTGTACAGGTCGATTCTATACTTTGTATATCTAATGCGTGCATTCGTTTTTATAATGTTTCTGTTTAAGAAATGTCTTTGTTAATTTAATTTGTTGTGGTTTGTGAATACTCTGAAGAAATCAAATATCCTATCTGCCATACAATCGGACCTACACCCGGTTTCCGAAAGGCCGATCAATGTTAAATTCAATTTAATCTCTTGTCAAGTCATCTGATTGGTTGACTGAATTATCAACAACCAATCAGATGACTTGACAAGAGATTTGACACCTAGTTCGGGCTTTCGGAAACCGGGCATTAGTCTACAAAATCTTTGATATAACCAACGACTGTGAACACAGTGATACTGTACAATCAAAGACGCTTAAAAAACGCTAGGTAACAACATAATCCTTTTTATAACAATAACATATCTTACTATTATTACCTATTTGCCTTTACAAGACTAAGCTAAATATACAATTCTTACGAGTAAGTATATAATATCTTATTTTTATAAACAGTTAATATAATATATGATACCTACTGAATTTTATTGACAATCTGTTGTTCGGTTCGCGATGAACTTATGTCAGGGTTATTTGATAAAACTCTGCTTCGGTCGTAATTGCTTTAATTTTCATAAAATTGTGCCACTATAATGAACATTTTCAATGTTTATCATTGAACGACCAAATTCTATTGTACTCAGACACTAATAAATACTAAAAGAGGAGTTTAAAAAAGAATTAACTTTTTCGAATATTAATCAACTCATAAAAATACAACAGTACAGCGCAACAAAAGAAGAACATTACCATTTTATTACGAAAAAAAATTACGGGGGCCATTCAACGTGAAATGTTGATTTAAAATCTATAATAATAAGTAATGAATATACCACTCATAGGTAATAACGAACTTAGAAATCAATAGAGAAATCTGTTAGTTTTACAAACAGTGATAAAATTGTAAGAAAAAGTCAAACAAACAAGGTCGGTGATGTAACGGATGGTGACGAAGACATCTTTGATAACACGAGTTCAGTGTTGCGATAGCGCGGAGCTTGGCGGCTTAACGTCATCATCACCACTAGCTATTATGAATGTAATTATATTATTAAAATAAATTAATTATGCGAGGGAACATGATTTATTTACAAATCAACTGTGTCTCATTGTTTGTTTACGAAATAATAAACTATTTAACTTTATTAAAACCTGTGTACTCACACGCTTACGGTTTACGGATATCGTAATTAGTTCCTAGTTTATCATCTTATTACTTTTAGTTCTTGTTTGTATGTAGTCATTATACATTTATTGATTAACGTAATAGAAACTACAGGGTCTGACTGAAGTTTTAATAAAAAAGTATTGTTCATGTGAACTGGTACAGGAACGATGTCGAATTGAATGGCCACTTCCAATGTCGAAACTCAACTCCCCCGCCGGTGTATTACTTCAAGTTATTCTTATTTTCGCGCCTTGCAATGCATTTCATCTTTTCAACGTTGTGCTTTTGTTTTAACCGTCAACGTTTTTATGGTTTAAAGACGGATTTGTTTTGCCTCGGTTTATAGGATTTGTATTAGTTGAGAACATATTTTTTGCCGTTTTATTTGACACGTTGGACGTGTTTTGTTTCCTGGCGCTAAGTGTAATGTTTTCCATGAAAGAAACAGATTAGCAACGAACCTTTAACCTTTTAATGTCTCCAGTTCACTTGATACACGTCAAGGCAACGCAGTAAAAGACGTCACAAATGTTACTCCACATGCCTACTCAGATCATCATGTAAAGGGTAAACAACGACTTTTTATAAAATCGTCACTTTTTACCCCAAGAGAATCAAGCACGAGAAAATTCTAGACGTGGCGTTCCTTTTGTGTCAGATTTACCTATGTCAACCGGAGGTACCTGAAACAAAGGCGTGACTCACCGTGGGATGTACGTGTGGTTGCGAATATAATTGCATTCTGCGAGTATCCAACGTGTAGTGTGTGTTTGACGGAAGATCGTTCATGTCGAAGGTGGTTTCTGGATGCAGGCCTGGAGTCAGCCGCGAGACGTCGTCTTCGCAGCCTCCATCGAGGCCCGACCCATCGGTACTCCGGGCCACTGTAGACAATGCAAATTTAAAAGAGCTATTTAAAAAATATCAAACATAATTTACTAACAGGAACAAACAAATTTAAAGTTTGGCATTTCTCATATATCACATTGATCATGCAAACTGAAAAAGTAATCCCTACATAGGTAAAATGTATACATATTTTATAGCATCACTTTACGGCGCAAAAAGCTGGGTATTTTTCGGAAACCATTAATTAACCAACAATGCATTGAAAGACCATATTCCAAATTTACAAGCTTAGCAATATTGACAATCGGTATGTAATTTAAACAAATTGACAGATTTGATTTTTGACCTAAAATTTGTATTATTCAATAAGTTCTGATGTTGTTAATAAAACCCTTGCCTTGTTTATAAAAGGTGTTGGTGATAACAGTATAATAAGTATTAATTCTCCTACTTTATGAAAAAATGTCGTTAGTTACTTACATATGTAAGTACTTACGTACATATTGTTGTACTACAATACAGTTCTGTAATTACAGAATGTTGTTGGAATGGCTATTATTATATTGTACACGCCTACATTGCTTTACCTTAGCAGCAGACTAAGCTATATATACTTAACCTTTAACTTCAAAATATCATCTTTAAAAACAATATCCCATCTTTCTTCGTGCAATTAAACTTTCCTCTCCTATTCTATTACTCCGTTTTATTCTCTTTGGGTGTATCTTGTTCACACATAAGTACAGCTAGATCGATGCGAATGAGAATGTTTTTATAATAGTTCTGTAAGTTTTCTAGGACTTTTAAGATATTGATATTAAACGCTGCGTTCGGTAGCTATCTTTCCTCTTCGAAACTGATTTACTTGTCTTGGAATAAACCTAGTAACAGTTAAATGCAGTTTGAAAATTAGTTCGTGTCATTATGTATGTGAAAAATAGATAGATATAAGATTACTTACATATCGACATAAGATTTTTTTGTTCTCTATCTTAAAGTTAGATTAATCTAGAGATGCTAGTTTCGGCAATTCGGTAATTGATTCCTATTTGAAATGAAGACAATGGCAGTTTTATTAGAACTTCTGATGGGCAACTTTTCGAACTACAAATATAATACTAATTTCTCAAAAAACAACTAAAAATTAAACCATTTAATAACAGCATCGTAAAATCAATACATTTGAATAGGTGTTCTATTACACTAAGATAATTATTTGAAATAATTAATTAATTACCAAAGAAATGACGCTGGTTGAATATAAAATCTTATAGCCACAACCACATAAATGTCTTAATATGTTTTCACCTTATTAATTACTATGATCAGTACCTACGCCTACCAGGGAGTTGAGGGCGTGTTTTGCTGTATTTACAAATAAATATTCAGTAGTAATTACTACAAGTCATTAATCAAAGAAAAAGTTAATAGGTACTATTTTGCTTGGTAGCAATTTATCTGAATTGTCACCAGATTCACATTATAATCTAAATTTAACACGGTTTGATGCTGCCGACGCAAGCATTTTGGGCTCAAAACTTAAGTATGAGAATTTTGTCATAAAATAAAATAAAAGTAAATAATGCTAGAACAATTTATTGAAGAGAACAACTGCAGTATTATACCTACGCGCTACGTGTGAACACGAATAAATAAAAATGTACTTAGTAAAAACTTTCAGCACATAATTTTTCATTAAATTCATTTTTCTTACAAATATTAATTAATCAATTGGCAGAAATGAGATAAGCCATCTAATACTTGTAAAATAGTCAAAAAATTATCTTATGGAAGTTGTAAGCATCGCGTAACTTTTTCCAGTTTGAATTTTTATAACACAAATTGTAAATATTGTATCTATACATACATTAATTAACAGTAGATATATTTTTTATAGTTTTATATTTATAAACGTAATTAGGTATGTACTCACCCACTTTTTCTATTTCAGTGCGAAGTAAATTCTCCACAGCCGTCTTGAAATCCAAATAGTCTCCTTACAACATTAACATCCTTGTCAAAACACTGAAGAAATTATTTAAAAGTTTATAATCACTTTTGATTAACTTGTTGGTATGTTGTTAAACACAATTGTTTAACTTGGCGCAAATTAAAACAATAATTGTGAATATTATTGCAGTATCTTTTTAAAATTGATATGGGCGCGCTCTGGGCGGGCGGGAGCAAATTCGACTTCGGATGTCGGACGGTCGACGCAAGCGGTGTTTAACGGAGCGCGATGCGAGTGACGCGCGCCGTGGCCTAGCAGCGGACTGACTCAAATACTCCACGAACGAATCTCTCACGCTTCGAGCACATCACGTAAAGCTCTATGCCTGCCGCCGCTGTGTAGGCGTCTTCACACTTAACAATTCACATTAATATGTGGTTAATTACCCAACCTCTAACATAGAAAAGATGCTCCTGAGGAAAAAAGCCCTTTTAGTCCAAGTTTTCCCGTTATTTTACCATTACCTGGCCTCTCTCTTTGCGCAATAGTCACTGCATATTTATGTCATAATTGTTGAAAAATGGGCATTTTTCTAAATCAAGGAAAACGTAGTCTTAGTAGTATGAAATGGCAATGAGTGGGGCTAAACGCGGTCTCATTGGCGGAGCTGTGCCGCCCAACGCCAATAGCACGGGAAGGAGGAGCCGCATAGCAATCACTTGGAAGTTTGGCGAGACGTGTCTCTAACCTCCTTAATTTTCTGCTTTTTAGCGTAAGAATATTAAAAAAATAGGCTTCTATTTATCACGCCTCCGGCCTTTTGCTGGCTGGACGAAAAGAGTAGGCACTTCGACTTGTTTGTTTACTCTACCCGGTTAATAATAGATACACTCGGATCTTCAAACAAAACATATAGACATATAGTATGTTAGTCAACTTTAACGTAACCATAAAATTGTACTGTGTACTGTTCCGTTATTCGAGTAAGCTGCTATTTGGAGTCTCACATTCGATTAAGAAAAAAAAAACAGTTGTTTTTTAAAGCGTGGTTTAAGTAAGTATAAAACTGCGGTGTGTGCCACCAAGCCCTTTAAACATATAATTCTCACAACATAACTCGTGAATAATAACCGGCCTTAATTAAAATACTTTCACGTTTCTTAACATTTTGTCTCCCCAGGACTATCTTTATACTTGTTGTATATTATTATATATCTAACTAAGTATATGTACATATTTCAAATGTAATAATAACCTAATATAATTTGTATAAATTTTCTATATTTGGATTTTCTAGAGTTCATCCCATCTTTCATTTTGTACACTATATTGGGTCATGAGTTTGATAATATAATAAGAACATAAGCAAGTAATAATAATAAACCATAACAATCAGTATTGGAATTATATTCTTTCACTGCCCTCTAATAATTAACAATTAGGTAGTATTGTTATTAGGCTAACAGTGAAGACTGATCAAAGAGCATAGTAATCCGTTAGAATTGGAGTGGTCAGGCGCAGAATTACCAGCGTATTGAGCATTTCTTTACACTATTTTTCTCCTCAAATAATATCTGCGGATTTATTTCGTTGTGAGATGCGCCGGACTTCAGTGTTACGGTATTTCGTGGTTGTATGTGATCATTAGAAAAATTGACGCGGAGAAGAGGCACTAGCAGGAGTTGACCAAAATCAACACATCAATTCCAACTAAAGATATACTACGTGAGACTTTGGCTTTGCTCGCAGTGGGCACACCACTAAAATCTGCTGGTTTGGTGCTGGGAAGACGCGAGAGTAACCACAGAATGTTTGTCAAGTAATACATATTACCTACTTACTTATGAAATCTCTATTGATATTTACAAAGGTTGTGGTTAATAGACAGCAGCTGAGGGTTTACATAGATACAGGCAATACAATAAATACTCTTTGTATGTCAGTAGCTAAATCGTTACAAATAAAGATAGAACTCAGTACTGCTATAATGAGAGTTTTTGTAGGAGCATGTATAAATTCACCCGGTTCTTGTTGTCTAAGTGCCCTTATAGATGATGTAAAATAACAAGGAGTGGTTGAATTAATTATAATAAAAATAACCCCCCCAGGGGACCACCTTGACGTGGTGGGGGGGCTTAGGGAAGGCATGAACTATAAAAAGGTCACTGATAACTAGACTAACCCTATAAAGGAGATACAAGAACTGAAGCCACTAACATCTCGGCGATACCCTTCCAACTAACGGTCCCAATCACCTATGCATTTGACCCAGCCACAATTCAAATGCATTATTTTCCCATTTTTATTTCCTCGTTACTTCCTCAATCGTTCCTAGGTCTGTTTTATCTTTCTTGTCTCTGTCATTCTATGTACATTTACTACTTCTTTACTCACTCATAATCTACCCTTGGCCATACCCCATAATAAAAACCCTCCATATTTATGCGATGCGTCTAAGAAGTAGAGTTATACCCCAGGCGGGTACCGGAGTTAACAACGATGGAGAATCCCGCCCCGGGCCTTCCAGCCCGGGCTGCCCTTCGTACTCTGGGGAGGGCACCGTATCGCAAGCTGCCCAGTCACAAGCTGTTGCAGCAAGACATGCTCCATTGTCAACATGTTCGTCACCAACTTCATCATTATTCTCATCCATCCCTTCATCGCCAGCATCATACATCAACCAACAACAATCAAGTTCAACTAATTCATCCCCATTATCATTGCAATCCATCGGGGATGTTGTGCAGGAGGCTATCTCAGCCGAAATTACTGCACCCGCCCATGATGGTAGGCGCACACGTAAAACGTGGACGAAACAAATGAATATTTTCATCATGCGCCATTACTTCATTCTCACTGATCTCGAACTCAACACTAAGACTTACTTGACGCCATTACACGCACGGTTTACCGCAGAATTCCCCGAAATGAATGCTTCAAAGCAAAGGATAGGTGATCAACGACGAGCGATTGTCCAGCGCAACTTTCTCACAGAGCAGGAATTACAGAATATCAAAAAAGACGTTAGACTACTTTTACAGAACCAACCATCATTATCACAAAATAATACATACAATAACCATACTCAAACCGGTAGAATAAGATGGTCAACTGAGCTAAATGAAGCTATTATGAGAAGTTATTACCGATTAACAAACCTTGAAACAGACTTAACCACATATAGACCATTACTACACCAAGACATCATCTCAAAATGCCCGTCTATTGCACACCTATCCGCACAAAGAATATCAGACCAACGGAGATCCATTGTCAATAACCAACTATTATCAGTTGACCGACTAAATCAGATTAGGGAAGAAGTTCGGAGTGAATTGGCGTCTATATGTACATATAGTCCTGAATTAACAACACCACAACTCACTTTACAGGAAACTCAAACAACGTCAACACCAATAAATATCAATGACAATAACCCCGAACTAACAATGTCAACAATTACCAACGAACAAAACACACAACCACTAGCGCAAAACACTCTAAACCTGTCCGCTGATCTACTTGGACAATTAGAGCAATTGTATAAAGACCACTATAACAAATTCAAAGAATCTGACCCAACAACGAGACCTTATATACCAAAGTTAAAATCTTCCAGAAAACTAGCAGCTATCACGACTCATCTCAATGCTCACATACTCCCAAATATACTTACTTCGGAAACAGACTTCTACACTCTTCAGACACATATTTACTGCGCAGCATACACTACAGCGATATTTAATGGAGCTAGGATTAAAGAAAATAATGTAATTGCCAATAAACCAGGAAAAGCACCATGGTGGCAAAGACGTCTAGAACATAGGATTAGTGAACTCAGGGCTAACATAGGAAGGCTAACTGAGTATGCAAAGGGTACAAGATCGCAAGCCCTAGAAAACCACATCAGTAATATAAAAAAGATATACAAAACACACACACGCCACGAATCAGAAAACTCAGACATTACACATTTTTTAGATACATTGAAACAAAAACTGAACGCACTAGCAAATCGGTTAAGAAGGTATAAGGAGACGACGACTAGGAAAACACAAAATACACAGTTCAACAATAATGAAAAACTATTTTACAGAAAATTAAATCAGCAACATAGTAGCTTACAAGAAAATAACACACCACTACCAAGTCCCGAATCACTACACACATTTTGGTCAAATATTTGGTCTAATTCAATCACACACCATCAAAACTCCTGGATTGCTGAAGATAGAGAAAGATGGATAGATACACCAGAAATGAAATTTGATCAAATTAATTTACAACTATTACAAACAGTTATAGCTAGGACACACAACTGGAAAACCCCAGGATCGGATAATATTCATAACTTCTGGTATAAAAAATTAACATGCACCCATACATTACTACTTAAACATATAAATACATTCATTCAATCACCAGACACAATGCCACCATACATCACGCGAGGCACAACGTACATGCTTCCAAAAGATCTATCTGACACAGCTAATCCTGCTAAATACCGACCTATCACTTGCCTACAAAATGTATATAAAATCATTACATCATGCCTTAGCGAATTGATATACAAACACACACAAGAACACAACATCCTGGCAGAAGAGCAGAAGGGGTGCCGAAAAAATAGTAGAGGATGCAAGGAACAATTAACTATCGACGCCGTAGCATGCAAACAAGCCCTCAAACAAAAACGTGACATACACACCATGTACATAGACTATAAAAAAGCCTACGACTCCATTCCACACTCTTGGCTAATTTATATTTTAAAGCATTACAAAATACATCCCATTATCATTCAATTCTTAGAAAAAATATTGCCCACTTGGAATACGAAACTAAAAATACGTCACGGAAATCAAAACACAGAAACAGAATTTATTCCAATAAAAAGAGGCATCTTCCAAGGTGATGCACTTAGCCCCTTATGGTTTTGTCTAGCACTTAACCCTCTCTCCAACATACTGAATAAAAATAATATCGGTTTCAAAATTAAACACAATTCACAACATACAGGTCTCACTCATCTGATGTATATGGACGACATCAAACTTTTTGCAGGTACATTAAACGATATACACACCCTAGCTGACATCACACAAAGATTCTCAGATGACATTTGCATGGAATTTGGGATAGACAAGTGCAAAATCCAGTCAGTCATCAAAGGCACTGTAGAACCGACATCGTATGAACTAAGGAACAACGAAATAGTAGATGCCGTAGACCCCAATGAGGGTTATAAATATCTAGGTTATTATCAATCAACAGAAATTCATCATAACAATACTAAGAAAGTACTGCA